TTAAAATAAAGGATTTTAATTTTAAAAATGAAACTTCGGCTTCAGATCTGGGTTCAAACTTTGCACAAAATGGCCCTAACGGCATCATTTTTCAACAAAATCTCAGACAAGAGGCTGTGAGGAATGTTAGGTCTCAAATTGTCACTTGAATTCAGACGTCAGTTCAGCTCCACGTTTTAGGTTTTGATCAACCCTTTAAAAAACTGCTCAGTGAAAACAATCCCTGTTTGATTTGTTGAAATTGTGCTCACGCGTAAAYAAATCCTGCAGAAAATCAACAAACAGTCTGTTAGAGATGCACTTCATCATGTCCTGCTCTCAGTTCYAACTGGAGCTTCAGCTGAAGATAAGATAAGCTTATTACAGCCGTTATCTGCGACTCTCTGTATATGTGGAGCTTGCTGTACAGAAGATTAACAGGAGAGACGGTTGGTCGAGAATTTACAGGTGGAAAAAGAAAATGAGAAAAAAAAACTGGGGATAAGAGAGAGGGAAGCTGTGGCAGAGAGAGATAAACAGGAGAGAAAGAGTGGCAGCAAGAGGTGGACGGATAAACAAGCAGGATGTCAACTTATGTACTGAAAGCTTTCAGGTAAGTCGGTGAGGGCGATGGAGGGGCAAAGTGACGGGGAGAGGTCTGAGCAGGAAGTAGGGACATTTAAAGGAGGAGACTTACATTGATTCCTTCCCAGGAAAACTCGGTACGGCCATGCTAGGGAGGAGGGGAGGGAGAGAAACACAGGGAGACAGTAAGTGGGATGGAGKGGAGGAAGAAAGAGAACAAGGACATTTAAAAGAAAGAATGTGATGCCCATTACTCAGAAACTGCTCGTAGTCTGGAATTAAAGTAGAATTTATACTTTGGATATAAAAAAATCTGCTGTTTTTATAAATGTGCATCATTACATTCTTGCACCACAGAAGCTCAAGTATGGGGTGTCGTTTGTAACTTTACACAGTCAAAGATTACCACCAATATTTTTGTTTTATTTAGCCTTTTATAAGAAAAAAAGAACAGATTTATTTTTCAAAGTCAGTTTTTCACCATATGATTCATACATTTATAAATGTCATAGTTTATAAATTAAATRTTTAACTTACAAATTAAATATTTAGTTTTGAGCTAAATATTTAGCTTGCAACTTAATTATTTAGCTAGATATCTAAATATTTAACTTAAATATTTAGCTAGCTAGCTAACTATTTAACTGCTAGCTAAATATTTATGTTGAAACCTAAATATTTAGGTTGAAAGCTACACATTTAGCTCAAAACTAAATATTTAAGTCACAAGTTAAATATTTAGCTTGTTAACTAAATATTTAATTTGTAAGTTAAACATTTAGTTTATAATCTATGACATTTATAAATGTATGAATCATATGGTGAAAAACTGACTGAAAAATAAATCTGTTCTTTTCTTTCTTATGAAAACGCTAAATAAAACAAAAATATTGGTGGTAAKTTTTGACTGTGTAACTTTACAAACGGCACCCCATACTCAAGTTCATGTAGTCTAAAGCTTGCAACATTTAGCCTGGGAAATTTGAGAACTGTTTKCAGGGTAGYAGAAGCTGGATTCTTCAGTATTTKATGGTTTTATGTTAGTCAGTGAACTGAGTCAAAGAGACCGAGGACAGAAAAGGCAGCAGCAGGAGTGATAAAAATGTGTTTGCATGTTGTCAGCTGCATCATCCCTCTTTCTTTCCTMACTGTTTAGGTAACCAATGGATACCATTCAGTAGCACGCACATTACCAAGGGCAACTGCAAATCCAGTGTGCAGCCAAACCTGCACGTTTGTCTCCTCATAAACATGCATATACATATGAAAAAATATGCACGCACACACTTTAGCTGCTGTGCATAATTAGACCACCGTCCTGCYGTCAGCACAAAACCAAGAGAAGCATCTTCACCTGTGAATGTTACAGCTGTCACAGATAAGCTGTGCAGCTCATTCAGATCTTCACTAAAAGCAACCCTGATGTGTGCAGACCTCAAATAAAGTGCTTATTCCTCCAGTTGTGGGGCTTCAGTTGGAGGAGATGTGTGTCTGCAGATAAGATAGAGCACCTGTGGATGTGTGCTCTGAAGATGAACAACTTGAGACGCGACGATAAAGGAAACCGTTCACGCAGACAGACAGATGGCTCTGATGTCACTGTGGTTAGCTACACACAGAACTGCACACAAGAGAGGAAAACGCTATTTAGAAATGGATGACCTCATCTAAAGTAATCAGAYGAAATGTAGAGATATTAAAATTTTTAGAAGGATTCAACATATTTGCAGATTTTTGTGTTTTCATCAGCAGCACTTTATTGACCAAAGAAAAATTAGAGTTCATTCATTCCAAATTCAATAAAAAACTTTTAAAATTTTCATTATCTGACATAATTCACCATATTTCTTCTCAGCAACTTGATTTACAGGTGTTCCAAAAAAAAAAAAAGATTCCTGATGGATTTTAGAAAAAAAAAAGCACTGTTTAAGTGTTCAACAAGCTACTAGCATGATCTAATCCAGTGTTTCCCAAATTTTTTATCTTCTGACCCACAAAATATCCATGGCAAAAACTTGTGACCCCAAATATTACTGGTCTGAGTACACAAACTTTGTC